CCCCAAAACCCCAAAACCCCAAAACCCCAAAACCCCTCATCTTTCTGTAAGGTTGAAATGATTCGCTAATCAATATTATTACTAGTAATGTTATTCATAATTATGATATTGAGATTCGTAGTGGGCTTATATTAATTTCCCTGCTCAATCTCTGAGCTTAAAAGGTGCAGCATAAATTCTTTACTACTGTCAAACACTAGTCTAGAGTTTATATGGTCCTCTAACTTTTCTCTCATCATAGGATCATCCTCAGGAGCTAATTTGAGATAATCCTCCTTTATCTCGTTAATAAAAGAGAACTGTCTCTTATCATAATACCAGGACCCTTTACTTCCATCCCCTGAACTACCTCTTTCGATCATATCATTTCTTGACCTTGTGCTTGCTTCTGCAATACTGGATCTAAAACTGGGGTCAATTTTCTCTTCCTCATATTCACAATTTTCCCTTGGAGAAAGATGGCCAAATTTGTCATAATAACTGAGCTGGCTATTCATAGCATTCTTAACGATATCTTTCCTCTTTTGACAAGCTGAAGCTTTTGTTCCAAAATCATTGAGATCAGGCTGATATGCAAACACATTTTGCTTAGCTAGATATCTTTTTACGTTGATTGGGATGTCTTTTACTAACATTTCCTCAAATATAGTCGGGTCTTCGAGATTCTTGAATTTGCTGTAGTCAAGATAATTCACAAACTCTCTTTCTGCCTCTTCGAATTCTGGTACTAAGGTTTGTGAAAGTGTCTTAATATCATTCGTCTCTTCTAACTGCTCATTTTTGAGCTGAATAACAGTTACTCACATTGGAAGGTCTCCGATTCACTTGGCCATTGAGATCGTTTTGTCGAAATCATCAATAACCCCTGGAGTTATATAAATCAGACTAAAGAATTTTTGAGGGTTGCCTTTTATTTTCTCATGTCGGGCCATCCGTCAAACAAGGTCAAGAACAGGAGAATAGTTGATTGGAAGTGACAGCTGTATTTTGCTAAAGACCTCACTATATTTCTCAACTAACTGATCCCTTTCAACTATTGGATCAAACATGTCTCCTGATAAGGCAAACAAATCTGAAGCATTTTGTTGCTTTGGGACTGTTTTTCCACCCATTCCATATCCAAGTACATATGGACAGAGATGTTGATAAATTTTCTTGATCTGACTTAGGATGGAGATATAATCATTTTCCTCTCCTTTCTTTAAGGTATGTAATCACTTTTTATCCATATCGAATGTCAGATTGCCTAGCGAGTAATCAACAGCAATGATGGGGACTACATGCAAATCCAAGTTTAACTTATAATCAAGGAAAGAAAAAAGAGGTGTATAAGAAGAATTCCAAATACTGAGTGTTCCTCTCAAACTTTTAGATTTTTGGATGTTTAACTGTAGTTTAGCTCTCTCTTCAAGGTTTCTGATGCTTCTAAGCTTAGTGCTGTCGTGCCCTAACACCTTGATACTTTCTTTACCCTTTTTATTATATTTCACTCTTTTTAATTCAAAGTCAAGGTGAACAGATCCCAGAGCCTCACCTTCAAAGATATCAGAATTCATAGAAATTTTCCCGAAATAGAACAGACCAGGACGCCCATTTACAGGCTCAGATCTAGTGGTTGGGATAGTGTTGAAAACAAGCTTTTTACTTGTACCCAAGATCTCATACACCGACACCATTAGGTGATGACTTTCTGAGTGGAACATACCATTCAGATCGAACTCTATCTTCATTGGCTTGTGAGATTTCTCAACAATTGAAGCCCTGACGATAGACCCTTCATGCTCATACTTTTCCTCGAAATTTTTACCTGACTTATCTCCGATCTGAAGAGGAATGTTGGATTTCAAGTTCTCAGCTTCCCCAAACATTCCTTTAAGAAGCAAGGTGTCATGGACATCATATCAAGCTTCTAGATTATAGTAATACTGTTGTTCATGAGGTGAATCATCAGTCTCATACTCTGTTGAATCTCCAAATATTGATTTCTTAAAGTAATTACTCTGATCAGTCTCAAAACTTATCTTTGCATAGATTTTCTGATCATCTTGGGTAATTCAATAGTCAAATTGGAAGAGCCCATGTGATGTGTGGAGAACATCCATGGCTTCTTCTTCCCATTCTTCCATTTTAGATCCATAAAACACCTTGTATTTGATCTTATACTTCTTGCTATCAGATTGCAAATAGGATGGAAGAACTGTCATAAACCGTACTTCAAGTTGAACAAGATTTTCATCATAGATTTGGTCCTTTGTTTGCTTATCTTTAGGAATCTTAAGAATTTTCTTGCTAATCTTTGGAGATCTGCCATCTCCAAGCGCTGTATGGCTCGCTCATTGTGCTCCCATTATAATATTATTAAAACTAGGTAAGAATTCAATAATATTTTTTAAGTTTGGGGTTTTGGGGTTTTGGGGTTTTGGGGTTTTGGGG